TTATAGCCATGAGGAAACAGAAATTACTCAGAAGTAAAATTCAGACTGAATGGGCCACTTCAGGTGGCAGTCACTCATTTCCAAATTACACGTTCTCTGTCAGTTGTGACACTGAGTAAGAGTCTAGTTGCTCTCTGGCAGTTTCAGCCTGCCACCATCTGAGAGTCTTTGAGCATTTCTTTTCTTTCTTTTTTTTTTTTTTTTTTGGTTTTTCGAGACAGGGTTTCTCTGTGTAGCTTTGGAGCCTATTCTGGCACTCGCTCTGGAGACCAGGCTGGCCTCGGGCTCACAGAGATCCGCCTACCGCTGCCTCCCAAGTGCTGGGATTAAAGGCGTGCGCCACCAACGCCCAGCGTCTTTGAGCATTTCTATTCCACATGTTGGTTGTATTCTGAAACTCATTTACATGTTTAAGGCCACCATCCTCAACCTCAAGGGGCTTAGAATTGTCGCTTGTAATGGTAGTTTTGGATAGAACTGCTGTGCAGGCAACTGAGAGAAGATGGCCCTTTGTGGGACCTCTGAACCTTGCAAAGGCCTCTTTCAGCCACCGTTGGTCTTTCTTGCATTACCCCCAATCCTTGTCCTTACAGACTCGGGCATAAGATGAATCACATTGAGATGCTGAAGGAACTTAGTACTCAGAGATTGTGGGTCACCTATCCTGTGTGGGAGGAACAGTGTTTGCCACGTGTGAGATGAGCTGCAGAGCTTGACGATAAAGTCCTGGGATCTTCAGTCAGATGGCTGTTGTTTCATCTGGACCTCACTAATCCACTGTCTGTCTTGCACAAAACAGTATTGTTCCCCCCTGCTATACTGATATCCCCTGCATAGTGTGGCCCAGTGCTCTCTAAGGCAATGATGGGATTTTTTTTTGCAAGACAGGGTTTCTCTGTGTAGCTTTGGAGCCTATCCTGGCACTCGCTCTGGAGACCAGGCTGGCCTCAAACTCACAGTGATCCGCCTAAGACAGTGATGTTTATGGAAGTCCTACAGATAGGACAGGAAAAAAGATTTTCTATTTAGTTTCACTGAGAAGCACCCACAAGCAATACTAAGGACTTGTGTGTACAGAAGTCTCACACATGACCAGGAGTGTGACTGTCCTTCAGCTAAATGAGCAGACTGGATCATAACATGAGCCAATCTTTCCAGAAGTTTCATGGTGACTGAGACGAGGCATGGACTCTGTGTTCATAGGATAAGTCAGAGAATGATCTAGGAGAGTGGAGATTATGGGTTAAAGGTGAGCTTGAACTAGAACCATTGTCTTTGCACAGTTAAAGGCAATAGTAAGAGATTCCTTGCAATGCAGTTTGCTAATTATTTCTTTCCTTCTTTCTAGGTGCATCGTTATATTTACTGCATGTATTTCTATGAACCACAGGTATGCCAGAGCACCCAGCAGCCAGAAGAGGGCACATGGCCTTTTTGATTACTCTATTTCTCTTATTTTTATTTTTTGTTTATTGAGACAGGGTTTTCCTGTATAACTTGCCTGTCCGGGAATTTACTCTGGAAACTAGGCTGACCCTGAAATCACAGACATCTGCTTGCCTCTGCCTCCAGAGTACTGGGATTAAAGGCATGCACCACCAATGCCCAGATACTCCATTTCTTTTTAAATGACTTTCTCTGTTCTTTTTCTTTTCTCTCCCAAGCCTATGTATATTTTTAAGCACACTGTAAGCCCTTTAGAGGTTTCTCTTCATTTGAATCAGTCTTTACTGTATATCTCCATAAGTCTTTAATCTGCTAAACTTCGTGGCTGGGATTAAACTGGAGGTTTTGGCTAACTGTCTCCTCCCAGTTAGGCTCCAATATGGTAGGGGTATGCTGACGGCTCTGGGAGCTGTGTTCACTGCCTAGATTCTGTTCTATGCAGCCATCAAACAGCTTGTAGTATACAGCCCATAAACCTTTTTTGTCTGTATGAATAAAAGCTAAATCTGTCATACAGCGTGTTGTGTGGCTTAGAGAAGCAGCCTCTGTGTTCAATACAGCAGGAAGTGGCCATGCTGTGTTCAAGCCCAACTGCCGGTGTCTCTGCACCATGGCCTGCATGAGACTGTGAGACTATAGGAAGACCACTGAAGTTCTGTTTTAGGTGGAAATTCTTGCCTCACGTTAGGAGAGCCATTTGTAGATGGAGTTTCTGTCCAGCCTGGTCCCACAGCCATTTGGTCCCAAATAAGCATACCGAGGCTTATATCAATTATAAACTGTTTGGCCAATGTCTCAAGCTTCTTATTGGCTAGCTCTCTCTTAATTATTAACTCATTTCTATTAAACTGTGTTTCCACGTGATCTTGGCTTACCAGAGACTGCCCAGACCTATTACTTCTTCAGTGACCACATGGCATCCTCCCACTCGTGTGTGTGTGTGTGTGTGTGTGTGTGTGTGTGTGTGTGGTGTGTGTGTGTGTGTGTGATGTGTGTGTGTGTGTGTGTGTGTGTGTGTTCGTGTGCGTGCATAAGCATGTGTTCCTCTTCCCAACATTCCTAGATTGGTAGCCCTACCTATACTTCCTGCCTTACTACTAGCCAATCATCATCAATTCACCAACCAACAAGAGAAACATACATTCACGGCATACAGAAGGACATCCCCCATCAATGCCATGGGTGTACTGTAAACAGCTTGGGTCCTCTACAAGAGCAATCAGAGTTCATAACCACTGAGCCATCTTTTCAGCACTCCCAGGTGGGTGCTTTCAGAAGCAGATATGACTGCCAGAAAGTAGTGAGCAAGGAGTTGCTGGAACTGTGGCTGGAAGGGAAGGTGTGTTTAGCAGATCTGGATTAGAAATTTAGGACTCTAACTTTCTCCATATGAGACCATTATTAGTAATACCCAGTATCTAAGGCCAATCCCCAAAATGATTGCTTCTCCAAAGAGTACAACGAGGTATGATGAGAGAAAGGAGCTAAAGTTGTTTGAAATCAGTGACTCCCTGAGCAGAGAGAGCCCTGGTTAGATGCAGGATCTCTTACAAGGTACAAAACAAAGCCCTGTCCCTTGCCTTTCCGGAGTAGTGATAGCAGCATGCCAGAAAACATATGATTTCTATCCAATACGTGGGCTGTGGAGTTCTGGAATTTGTGAGAAATTGTTCAGAGGTGGGTAGCTGAATTCTAGGGTAAAATCAAACTCTTCATTTTTTTTTCACTTTATAGAACAGACATCTCCTCAAGCTGACACTATCCAAGATTAACATCTGTGAAAAGCAGATGCTCAGGCTCCACATACCCTGGAGAAGGCCTCCAGGGTGAAGACAGATGGATGTACACGGACAGATGATCGGTCGCCCATTGCCTGTGAGACAGATGTACACTGTGTTTTTCTATCTCTTTTCCAGTACTAGCATACATTCATACTGAATGTTGCCAAGGTGATGAGATAGCCTCAACTATGAAAACGGCCCTGTCATTGGGACAGGACAGCTGTCCAGATCAGCCCCATCTGTTACTAGTTGTCTACAGAAGATAATTTACTAGACTTAGTCACTGAGGACATGGAGTCATCAGGAGGATCTATGGCCTCTGTCCCTCCTCCAGTTGGGCTCCCTGACTTCATGCAAAGTTTCATAATTTGATCAGAACAGTTGTCTAATGCACTGGTACTTGAGTAGCTGGGCTCTCCATGCTGAGACTCAGAAGAAGATACCCAGTTGCCCAGTGGATGCCAAGGGCATGTGTGGAGTCCCTCTAGGGCTGGAGATAGGTATCCTTTAAAAGTCTCTTCACATAAGGGCTGGGAACTGAACACAGGTCTTCTGAAAGAACAACATGTACTATTAAACAATGGCCCATGTCTCTAGCCCTCCTTTATCCTTCTCTTCCTTTTTCCCATCGTGATTGCAGTCAAACCCTGAATTCACCTTCCAAATGCGCATCTGCCTTCTGGTCCATTGCAACCAAGGCTTTAGGAAGACAGAATGCCCCTACTGTTTGGGGATGTGCTTGGGAAAGTCTCAGACACCTGTGGGTGAATGAATGATACAAGTACACTTACTTGAAGGAATCTTCACATTGGTAGTTAACAAATAGGCTAATGCCACAGTTTGATTTTTAATTTACAGTTACTTGTGCATTTTAGATACGTGTGTGAGAGGGAATTTGTGTTCACTCATGTGTATATCAGTATATGGGTAATAAATAAATAAATAATAAATAAATGCTACTACACAAATATGAAGGATAGATGACATGAGGGAGTTGGTTCTCTCCTTCCACCGAGTTGGATCTTGGGATTGAAATCATCATGACATCCTTGGAAGCAAGCGGCTTTACCTACTGATCCATTTTGGTGGCCTACCCTGCTCTTATTTTATTTAGAGGGTAAGCATGCCTTGGTTGGGAACATTAGTCTTCAGAAAATAATAGCCACGGATTATAAACTTTGAGTGGAAAATAATCTGGTTCCACCTTCCCTTACTCTTCCAATTCACCAAGGACTTCCTGCTGCTCAACCTCTGTCCCTCTCTGTCCTCTCCCTTTGGGTTACAAGAACAAACACTTAAGTC